CTCTCCTTGTGTACACATCTGTAAAGCCCCCTCTTCAAGACCCACCTTTGCTGCCAGGCATATAAGACATTAACCAATGAAGAACAGCTAGGTTGAGGGGCAGATGGGGAGAGTTGCCAATGTTTTTGTAAATATATAATTATTTTTAAAAATGTATTTGTATATTTGACTGTGTCCCTGTTCCTACATCCTTTTTGGTTCTTTTATCTTTTAAAATTTGGAGCTCCTAAGGTTAGAGTCGAGGGCTTTATATGTGTTTGTACAGCGCCAGGCATAGGTGGAACCACTGGCTACTCCAATATACACATTAAATAATAATCATTGGTTAATTGCATGTGTAGTTCCTGTAGTTAGAGTGCTGCCAGTGTTGGGAACTGAAAATCTGGCTTTTAATCTAAACTGCCTGCCCCTGTAGTATTTGTGTGCCAGAATCATTCCCCTCTGAACCCCCTCCATTCCAACTCCACTGGCCTTCATTCTTCTTTTGACTACTCCATCCCCTCATTCTTTCTTCCATGCCACTCCATGTGACTGGAACAGACACCTAACTCCCCTATGGCTAGCAACCTCCCTGTCCTCTAATCCTCTCTGAAAACTCCATCGTCTCTATGATTCTTCCACCATTCACCTTTACTCTTACGTTCTCCTCTACCACTTGCGTATCAGACCTTGGCAGATGAACTAAATAAAAATAACCAAAATGGATTGTAAACTCCTTGGGGCTGGGACCTTGTCTTATTTTCTATGGGTAAAGTGCCTGTTACATCTATGATACTGTATAAATAATAATGCATATGTGTATAATAATGATACTTAGTAGCTATATAGCCTGCATAAAGTTTGAGTGTAACACAAATGCTAGCTAATTATTCCCCTGATTCTGCAAAGACTTATGCATGAGCTTAATTTAAAGCATGTGAATAGTACCATTGAACTGAAAGATAATTTAAAGTTAACAATGAATTTAAAGGTTTTCAGGATTGAGGCTTAGTATAGCAATATTATATGTATATGTAGCCTAAACTGCAAACTCATATGTGTATCCTGTATCTGAATGGTTGGCAGACCTTTTGAAGTGTCTAGTCAATGTATTTTGTAATGTTAAAGATTACAATACGTGAATTTTTATGTACACTTTTATTAAAGATATAAGGCCCTGAAACACTAAAATAAATTTAAAAAGCACTACAATATTGTAGCAACTTTTTCGTAAGATGCTCTGTGGTTCTGAAATAAAATTGTACTTACGGGGATCACTGGTATGAAAATAATCAATATTTTCTATTTTTTTAAAATAAGGAAAGGAAACAACATACGTGTTTTTCTAAGAGAAGGTGGAAAAACCCACAAATGACCTGTTAAGCAACAGAAACTTAAAATATGAATGAAATATAAATGAACAATTCAGTTAAAAAGTTTAACAAATTAGTACCACAGTTGAATTTCTTATATTATTAAAAAACTGCCCAACCCACAGAGGAAATGCTGGTGATTGATATCATTGTGGGATTTGAATTGTTGTTCAGAATATTATAAGTAACATTATCTGTTGTCACAGATTACAGAAAAAAATTCCACTACATTATTTGTTTTTCTTTATATTTTGGCATAGTTGTGGAATTTAGATTCAATTACACTTTGGGTAAGTTCTAGTCAAACTTGAAAACACTCTGGCTTTAAGATAATCCTGTCCTAGGTTTTTCAGTTTTTCTTATATTGTCAGTTTAAAGATAGTATGACATGTTGATTCATCTTTAGATATTTGTGTGTTTTCTGTATCTCCTCTGTGTACTGTAAGTGCATCATATTCAGGAAAAAAAGCTTCTGGATAATTTCTCCTTATAAAAGCAGAAGATACTTCAGTTTCGGTATATTCTGAGATGCAATTTCCCTGTTAATTATTGGGGGTTGAATAAAGGAAAACTAATTACACTGTCAGTTTAATTTATTTGCAGAAATACTAGGCTGTTTTAACCCACTGATCTCTCATCACTGGGAGCACTTTGGTACCATTTCCAGATGTCTATCAGTCTCGCAGAAAGGTTTTCATTTCAAAGGCAGCACTCTAACACAGAGAAATGCAATAGCCTGACACATTCAAGACGATTTTGTTTGGATTGAATCAAAGAATTGCTGTAAACATTGAGTAGAAATGTAAAAGGGCCATTGAAGGTTCCACACAAGCCATTTTTTGTTTGGAGAATTTCACATTTACCAGTCCTCCTGCTATGGGATACAGAGGCAAAGGGAGAATCTATTGTAGTATTCTGAAAGTACAATGTGAATGCAAGAGCTGAAAACATTTTTCAGGGCTTATGGTATAGGTCAGCACAATCAAGTGCTGTATTCTCTTCCAAATTGTAAGCAATAACAGTAGAATTACACATAGTAACTTCTATAATCAGTACTACTAGTAAACTTTCATTATTCTGTGAATGGAAAAAGTCTTTGATTCATATATGCTAAGTTTCAGAGTAGCAGCCGTGCTAGTCTGTATTCGCAAAAAGAAAAGGAGGACTTCACTTCACTTCATCGAAGTGAGCTGTAGCTCACGAAAGCTTATGCTTAAATAAATTGGTTAGTCTCTAAGGTGCCACAAGTCCTCTTTTTCTTTTTATATATGCTAAGATCATTCATTAGCATGGCTGCAGATGGAAAGGTGCTTTATAATTGTTATGAATTATATTATTAGAAATATTTTTAATCATTTGAGCTAAATTGAAATCAGGCAGTAGAGTTCTGATAGCAGTTTATAGAATAGTTCGCTCAAGTTTGCTAGATTCTCTTGAAAATAAAAACATAGAAGATATATTAGAAAATGAACACAGCCATACAGTCATTTCTCTGCTTTGCCTTCTGTGTCCAGTTTAATCATTAGCAGGATATCTTTTTCTAATATTATTAGATGCCAGGAATAGTTGCATTCTGAACAAGTTATAATCAATCCGAGCAATTGACTTTCCTACCATAACATGCAGATGCCATCTTGCACATTGCAAAGTGTAACTAATGCATTGCAGGCTGGGGGTATGAAAAAAAATGTAAACAAAAACAATTAGGGTTCTTCATTTTTCTAGACCAGTGATAGAAATATAAGAAACAAGCAAATTCATTAGGGAAAATTGGATTTGTCGAAATAAAAAGATAATTAGAACATTACATTGTGCTCACATTTTGATGCTCTACAAAAGTTTGATATTAACATTAATGGTTTATGTGTGGAGGTAAATATTTTCCTTTACTTACAGATATATGGCCATCTGATATTTCTGTATCAATACTGTATAATTTAACATTTATTTCATACTATCACTATTCATTGCAATAAACTTGGATCTGATACTTGCTACATCAGTCAGTCCCAGAGATCTTGTCTCAAAAGCGATCTTTAGAGCATGAGTTTCTTCCTATGTTAGATTTTATTGCTTGCTTCTTGCACATAATTTAACAGAATGCAGGCTAACACAGTCCAATAGCTGGAAATAAAGATCATGCTTTTTCAGGGGTCACATAAGCCTATTTACCTTGAAAAGTGCTCATTCATCTAAACTTTTTCATGGTTAGCAGATGAATAGGATGATTATGAAAAACAGACATTTGTGACTTTGTGTATACCATAATACTTCACTACATACATGTCCTTAAAAAATAAATCCTATAGTTAAAAGATCTGTTTCATATTCATATCGCTTTCTGAAGATGTGTAAAAAAGCAATACAAGTGCTAGCATGGCATGAATGAATGGCATGAATCCCAACTCAGTCTCTTTTATGCGTTTTACCCCACTAAGCTGTGCGAACATTGAAATTAAATCCAAACAGTCTGTGTCAGTCATTATTGAAATGTTAGGCTTGACCACTGGGTTATTCCCCATATATTGTCAAGATTGTTACAGGAAATTTCATTTTAACTGGAATGAGCAAACAGCCTGGCTTAGCATCTCATCCAAAGGGACTGTACATTTCCTTGCAGCTGCATCGCACACTCCAGGTGTGACTCTGGTGTCCACACTGAACTTTAGTTCAATTTCTGATTAGTGGCTTGAATCCACAGACTTCTGGCACTGCCAACAAAATTTAATTTCCATTACAAATTCAGTGCTTCCCTTAGCTTAAAATGAGTATTTATTTTCCCAAACCATGAGAGGCCAGAGCAAGAGGAAAATCCACGGTCTTCTATTCAGGTATAGTGCTGGCAGCCAGTATAATGAATACATATTCTTCTGCTAATGACCTCACCCTTGACCAGGAGGAAAGAGACACTAGAGAGATGAATGGTGATTCATGCTCAGTGCTGGGGCTGGTCCTTTGGTAAATGACGTGTTTAGGAAATAATGCAGACTACCGTTCAGTAAGTCTGAAACAAAACAAAAAGTTTAATTTGAGATCTTCAGCTACAGTTGAGTGATTGTCCTTGGTAAACCCCTTAAGTAATTAATCAAGGAAATTACCCCTCATCACTAATTATTTATTTTCTCAACTTGTCAGCCTTGCTTAAGATCATCTTGTTGCATTGCTTAAGGGGAAAATTGTGATTCAAATTTGTGAGGTTGGAGGGACAAGGCTTACCAGAAAAGTGGCTCACTCTAAGATATCAGCTTCCTTACCCCACAGACTTGCCCTTATCCTTATTTTGAGGGGGCTGAATGAGCACGACTAAAGGTCAGAAGATTTTCTGTGTTCTTTTGCTCATTGGCCTCTCTTCAGAGACTGTTTTAATTTCATTTGTGAGTTGGACATCTGGACCAAGACCAATTGCTCATTTCTTGGAGGCCACAGAACAGCTGTTCATGGTAACCACTTTTGGTCACTGCTGATGTGAGTTGGATAAACACTCTTTATCCATTACAAATCTTGTGAGCCAGCCAGTCACTATGAGCTTTGAAATAAGTTAAGGGAAAACATAAAGAAAATGGGAAGAGCTGATGATATTTATACATTTTAAATATAACTGTTGCAGCCTGTGCCATCACTTAGAATTTCCTCGTTCTCTGTTTTTAGAGGATTACCCCAATGGGACATGGCTTGGAGATGAAAACAATCCTGAGATGCGAGTCCGTTGCCCCATCACCCCAGCTGACATGCTGCATATCAGCACCAACTGCCGCACAGCTGAGAAGATGGCACTGACGTTGCTAGATTACCTCTTCCACCGGGAAATTCAGGCCATCTCCAACCTTTCAGGGCAAGGGAAGCATGGGAAGAAGCAGCTTGATCCGCTCATGATTTATGGTATTCGCTGTGAGTATAACCCGGAAGTTTCTGATCTTGTGCTGTATAGAGAGATTTCCATCTGCTTTGTCTGACAATTGAGAGCAAAAGAGAAAAGCAGAGCGAAATCTTTAGAACCAAGTGTTCTAAAATGTTCATGCACATTCCTTTTTTGGTTTATTTGTCTCAATATTTTTGGGGAGGCCTTCTCAGTATTGGCTAATGTTATAACCTGCTCAGGTATTTGTATGCATCTCTTGACTCCAATCCTGCCTCTCCTTCTCCTGCTCTCTAGTCTTCTCCCTCCCCCCTCAAAAAACCCCCACAACAACCCATAGTAATTAAAATGTCCTTTGGACATCACACATTAGATACAATGTTCATTGCCCTTTACTGAAATAAGAGTGGGGCCCATTTTATTTATCCTGGTGCCATCTATCTCTCCAATTATTTTGGTCTAATCTCTGTATGAATAACCCTTCCATTGCTGTGGCACCTATGTGCTGTCATTAATTTAGCTAATTACCTCCACTTGCTTGTTGCTCAGATATTTCATTATCTGCTCCATGCTCTGTATTTTTTTGTGGTTCCATTTTGAATCTCACTATAGGAAGTACAATTCCTGAAAGATGATTGGCTGACCTGGTGACATTATTTTAGCCAGCAGCCCAAGCCTAGAAATATGGTCAGGCAGGTCATGCATCAATCTGACCAACTCCTCCTTTACTCTACAGTTATTTTGGGCTGCACATTTATTTTTAAATAATACATTTTTATGTGGCGAAGAGAGAGTAGCTCTAAAGAACTACAGCACATTATAACAAGTCATGGTCCAACTTCATTTTTCTAATGTCTACATTTTTTGAAGTGTGGTTCTGCTCTTAAAAAGTAGCTTCATTATGCTACTTCTTGAGTTATTTTTGTATTTTATGCTCACCCCCCATGTAACACTGAGCATACTTTGCAAGGTTTTGATTTAACAGCAGACATTATCTTCCAAATAACTTGCTCTGCTCCCCTCCCCTCTATGGCACCAAACTAGCTAATCCTAGGGAAACCTCGCTAGCAGGCTAAGTGACAGTAGATTCCAGAACTTGCAGTCAGTGGAAGTCCTGGACAAAAAATGCATCATATTCAGAATGTATGTTCAGGCGTCAGCTCAGATGTATTTCCCGTCGGGTGAGTTGTAGACAATGTTCTGCCTCCCTGCTTCTGCCACTCTCACTCTTCAGACAGACAGCTGAATGTAGGTGGCATGGTGGGACATAGAGGATGTTTGAGATTGCTTCTACTGTGGTGTTGAAGTGTGTATTGCACAGTCTTCTTCCAAAGAGCTGGGCTGAGACTGTCCATTTATGTTGGGCCCAATCCTTTTCTCACTGAAATAATTGAAAACACTTGTCTTGACTTCACTGATAGCAGGATTAGGCCAATTATCTTATTTAGAAACATGTTGTCGGTATAGCTCTTATGCTGCTGTAGTGTAGGAGGCAGGTTGGGTCAGTCCTTAGAGACACCGCATCCAAACTACAATGCTTCTTTCCATTTACTGTGGTCAGAAGCATAATGATAGGGTCTGGAAACATAGAGAATTGCAGGTTTTAAAGATTGTTGTTATATCATGACAGTTTTCATTGTGTTTCTCACAGCTCATGGTAAGCTGAGTAGAAAGACATTTATGGGGAATAGTCTTGGTGAATATTCAAACTCTGGATTTGTTTTTTAAGTCATGAAAACATTAGAAGTAACATTAGAATTGTGCTCAGCTATCCCAAATGATCAAAATAAATTACATTCTGTCAGAGTTGGGTGTGTTTTTTGTTGCCGTTGCCACCAGACAGATGTTTTCTTAGCTTCTATTTATGGGAGGATCCTAAAGGACCAATTTAAATTAGTCTATGGTGGGTGTTTCCTAGAAATCTCTCAGGCTCTCTTTTTGGTTTAGGAAGCCACTCTGAGTTCAAACTAGTTCACAGGTACAGAGCATACCAGATGTAGCACATTTCTAGTTGAGAAATCCCAACCATGGTGGTAACTGAAATAATGAAAAAAATAATAATCAACTTGTTTTTGTTGGAAATATAGATACAGTTCACATTATCAAAATAATATGAGCTTGGATCTCAGTTTTGACCAACTGGAAACAAATGGGGAGTGTGGATTGTCTAGATGGTTAGGGTATAAATTCCAAGTGGAATAAACTCATTTTATTTTTTATCAGTATGTATCATTTCAAAGGGTGGACCTCACTCAAACTGAGATGAAGGAAATTGTAGCAGGCTCGCTGCAGTTCACACAAATGTTTCCCTACTTTAGGGAAAAGTTAAATACCATAAAGCATGTGGTTTCAAGATAGGAACTCTTAGGATGATAAAGAGTTCATATTGTTTCTCCTTGTCTAGATGAGTGTTAGGAGGCTATCACAGGCCTACAAACAGAGTTGCAATATATATTAGGGATATAGTTTTTTCTGTAGGTTTATAGGTAACCAAGACCGTGGTGGGAGGTAGATTATGGTACATAAAGTTTCTAAAATGTTCTTAGACGTGTGATGGACAGCCTGACTGTGTGAGTAAGCAGTAGGCACCTTGCTGATATGACACTGTGGTTACTAGCAGCAGATTACTCAACCAATTGTTTGATGACAGCAGCCAAGTTGACTTTATAAGTATAGTTTACAGTTTACATTTCAGGCAAGGGAAACCTGCAAATGCCTTCTGAATAGCTGAAATTCTGACACAAGCCATAACACATATAGGGTACCTCTGCTATCCATACTGTCTAAAGCAGTGGTTTTCAAACTGGGGTACATGTACCCCTAGGAGTGTGTGAGCTCTTGTCAGGGGGTAAGTGAGAAAAATCCTGTAATGGTGGACAATGCATTTAATTTAGTAAGACATGGCAATCTAATCATAGATATATTATGACCCTATTTCAGATGCGGGTACATGGTAGACTACATTATTTGGAAAGGAGTATGCAGCCTAAAAAACTTTGAAAACCACTGATCTTAGGTATACAGAAATAGTAATGTTAACTTGGAATTATATGGGGAACCATTGAGCGACAATGAGCAACAGTCCTGATTGAAACGAGTTTTATAGGCAACAAACTTTGAATTATGCATTCCTGAAATTATTTTATGTAGTTCACCTACAGAGTATTACAGTGGGAATAAATTAATGTACCGGGATATTTTTGTGTGCAGTTATTATTTGGAATGCCAGCTAACTTTAATCTTAACAAAAAACCCCACCAATTAGAGCATGATTGAATTTTTCTGAGGAATTCAATACTGCATCATTATATTTCTGCTATGGCAATGCAGAGTTACATGGAGAAAGTCTGTGGAAAGTGATTGCTAATGAGCCTGATAGCACTGTTCCTTCTTCAGGAAGGACTGAGTTTGGGAAGTACACTCCTAATGGCCTCATTTTGTTGATGATGTCACCTGACTACTGTGGTGGGGAACAGTGGGCTAAACTAGAAATATCCTGTTGAACTTGCTGCACTGTGGCCTATCATTGGTTCACTCTGTAAGAGAAAACAGAAGCCTTCAAAGGCTTTCACAGTGTTGTTTGATCATGTATAAAATGTGTTGGTGGCTCTGTAAGGGCTAATAAGACCTACAGATAATTTTGTTCTTGCAAATTTTGGAGACCTCTTCAGATGCTTATGTAGTGTAAATGGTACTTTTTAAAGTTACTGAATGTAACACTATTATTTTCACAAGTTTTTATAAGGCTAAATAGGTTTTATTTGAAAATTTGTTCATAAAAAAAACAAAAAAAAGCAGTGTGCTTGCAAAAAGTGCACATGCAACCCCCCAAATTTAGGTGCGCAAGTGGGATTATTGTAGCCCTAAGTGCTGTTCGTGTGTGCAATTACTGGATTTGTATATGCTAAGCAGGCTTTTGAAAATGAGGCTCCTTAAGTTAAAGTGTGTGATCATATTTTGGCAATATACGACTAAGCTGATATAATTTAAAAGGGAGATTCTTTGTAAAAGTAACCCTGATTGAAGTTAGGGGTACTTTACAGCATCTAAAACAGAGGTCTGTTGGCTCCACTCAGTGTCTAGACTAACATGTTGTCTTTGTTCTGCAACAAATCCCCATGCATCCAAAGAAGAATACACTCCCTAAATATAGACAGTTGCAAGAATACCCACATACAGTGTGTTTAGGGAATCTGAAAGTGATTGCATGGTTAATTAGGCTTAAAATAACATAGCCAAGGCATCATAAAATTACTACAGCACTGAATAGGGGTATGGGTGCGGGTGTGGGATGTGGACCTTGGGAGGGAGTTTGGGTGTGGGAGGGCACTCATGGCTGGGGTTGGGGTGCGGGAGGAGGTGCGGGCTTCAGAAGGGATTTTGGGTGTGGGAGGGAGCTCAGGGCTGGGGTTGGCGTTGGGGTTGTGGTGTGGGCTCCAGGAGGGAGTTTGGGTGCAGGAGGGGACTCAGGCTGGGGCTGGGGGTTGGAGTGTGCGAGGAGGCACGGGGTGTGGACTCTGGGAGGGAGTTTGGGTGTGGGAGGGGGCTCAGGGCTGGGGTTGGAGTGCGGGAGGGGGTGTGGGCTCCGGAAGGGAGATTGGGTGCAGGAGGGGGCTGAGGATGGTGCAGGGGTTTGGAGTGCGGGAGGGTGTGCGGGCTCCAGAAGGGGGCTCAGGGGTGGAGCAGAGTGTTCAGGTGCGGGCTCTAGGAGGGAGTTAGGGTGCGGGAGGGGGTTCCGACCTGGGGCAGCGGGGTGGGGTGCAGGAGGAGGTTCAGGGTGTAAGCTCCAACTGAGCGGCACTTACCTCAGGTGGCTCCCTGTCGGCAGTGCAGCGGGGCTAAGGCAGGCTCCCTGCCTGCCCTGGCTCCGTGTGGATCCCAGAAGTGGCTAGCATATCCAGCTCCTAGGCACAGGGGGGCCAGGCGACTCTATGCAATGCGCACTGCCCACACAGGCGCTGTCCCTGCGGTTCCCATTGGCCTCGGTTCCTGGACATGCCGGCTGCTTCCAGGAGCTGCGGGGAGCCAGGGC